CGTTTCCGCAGGTGGATGAGAACTTGTGCGTTTCGAAGTGCTCGATGACTTCCTCGCCGCATGGGCTGGGAGGGCATGCGGGGGCAACGGGTGCGGGGGGAGGGCAGGCGGGTTCAATGATGACGGGAGGAGGGCAGGAAGGCTCCACGATAGCGGGGGGGCAGACTGGTTCCACCACAGCCGGAGGGCAAGCAGGCTCGACGACGACCGGAGGAGGGCAGACAGGCTCAACGATATCGGGGGGGCAAGTAGTCGGGCCCTCGCAGGTATGGGTCTCAGTGCAGCTACCGTGCCAATCGGATCCACAAGGGCAGTTGGTAGAGATACAGGTCCTGGTGTAGCGTTCCTTTGAGAGGATTTCTTCCGGGCATGCGACCTCTGGGCAAGGAGCAGGAGCCACAATAGGAGGGCATGGAGCCGGAGCCATGATAGGAGCAGGAGCCGGGCATGGAGCAACCGGGACAGCAGTCTCGATGATGACCGGCGGGGGAGGGTTGACGATCGGGCAGGTGGCCGGAGCCGGAGCTGGAGCCGGGCAAGGGAAGCTTTCATACTCAGACTCGAAAGAGCTGACTTCCGGGCCGAGAGCACATTCGCAGCCACAGTTGGGGCCGCAGTTGGTGGAGGTTTTCTTGGTTACAAGCCGCTCGATCAATTCCTCGTTACTGCCAGAGGTAGAAACAATGGGTGCTTCAACCCCACATCCACATGGAGAAGAGATGATGTCCCGGCGCTGGATGCGAGTAACCGGAACAACGGGGACAACGGCGGAGATGTGATCCTTTCTACTCAATTCCAGGGAAGAGCGGCCGTAGAAATCCGGGCCTCTCGGGACAGAGGGAGGACGCGGGACATCGAGTCTCTCAAACGTGCCTGAAGGCGGAGAGGGACGGTTAAAACGGCGACCCGAAGAGCGTTTCGAAAGGACGGTGGCCTCCATGTTAACATCGGGGAGCGCAATAGAATCCGTCGCAATATTGGTTCCCGCAAGATCAAGACCGCCAACACTGGGAGTCAACAGATTGGTATCAATACTATTGATATCAAGCCCGGCAAGGGGATGGTCTTGTCTCTCATTAGAAACCATCTGATTATCAATGTTCTCCAAATCAATCCCGGCTTCCTTCAACTGCGGCGCAAACGGAAGCAGAATCTCATTAACTGGGTCAGCGTCCACCACAACCGTCTCCGGCTGCTCAACACCGACAATATTAACCTCCCCCAAATCAACACCGCATCCTCCAGGGATAACAAACTCGTTCTCCGTAATAACACCCACAGTCCCCGGGCATCCCGAGCCGCCTGACATGGTCGTGCTCGACGAGGTCTTGATCGACGACATTGTTTTCTTGATGTTCTCGGACGCACCAATCACCGTCATCCCAGCGGGGCATTTATACTCGTATCCGCTCGGGAAGGTGAAAGTCGTGGATCCATCGTCCGCGATAACGTTGTCCGGAGCGGGGGCCGGGGCGGCGAGTGTGGATGCCGCGAGGAACGGGAGGAGCCGGATGATTTGGAAGGTATTCATGCTGGGCGTATTATCGATATCGCGGTGGTGCTGAATCTGCTGACTCCTACTATCGTACAAACAAAAGTTTCGGTATGGACAACAAAAAAAGAGGGGGGTGTATCAGAATAGAGGGATAGTAAAAAATAAAACTAAAAGAAAGGACGGAAGTAATTAAGATGCGAAAAGGGACAGTATCAAACTAGTCTTTTACGCAAACTTCCCGGGAGGATGAGGATGGTACGTGGCGTACACGAATACAATAAACACTATAAAGGAGAGGACGGCGATGGTGAGGAGGATGCAACAACAGGGACTCATGATGGTAGTTAAGAGGACCGGAGGATCCATGGAGGACGTGACATGCTAGGTGGCATGCATCAATGTGTTCGTCCATAGGGCAAGTTGAACCTAGCTGGGTTTGTTAGCAATAATGGACGTGGGTAAACAAACAGACATTCGGGTGCTTTGTGCTTTGGGGATTGGTAGAGATGTGGCGTGGGCGTGGTATGAACATGACCGTGCTGGAGTACCCGGATGGTCGTTACGAGAGGGAAGCGGAATCTACAGGCGATAAGTGCCGGTTGATGCGCACCAAAGCATTGGCTCTCGAGTTTAAACCAATTAAGCGGTTGGTCCGGTCGGCTCCTAAAGTCCAGGTTTCAATTTGTTGACAATCCAGTGGCCTGTGAGCTGTTGATCTACCAAGTTCCATCCAGTCGCATAAATGCCCTGAGGTGCCCGGAGTGAGAGAAAAAAGAGGTGTCCGAGTCGGCCCGGAATCCACTCCAGTTGTTTATAGAGAAAGCATGGTATACCACCCGACTCTAGGAATTGGATCGCGAATCGAACAGATTCGCCTGTAGTCGCCTACCAATATGATGATCATGTCAGTGCTGATAGCAGCCATATCTCTGTCCCGGTCTCTCCATTCCACCGCTGCCGTCAGGTACCAATACCGAGACAGCGGATTTGGCGGTTATTTCGATAAGAACGTTGGTTGAAATCGAACGCAATTGAAATATTAACCGAGCCCAGTATCTACAACCAAAGAAAACCTCGCCTGTCACGGACCACAGACGACCTGGCCCTCCACATGACCCCCTCCCCTCCCCTCCCAACCCCATGCCCTCTCACCCCTATGCACTCGCCTTCTCGGCCTTCTCCTTCTCAGCCTCCTCAAAGATCCAATCATTCAACCCCCTCCTATTCCTCGCAATCTCGACAGCATAGAACTGCATCCTGGGAGCAAACATAGTCGTGGCCTCCTCATACTCATCCCTCGGATTCCTCCTGAGCAGTGTTCCAAAGTTATAATCATCCACCTTCTTCTCATAGACCATCATGAACTTCCTCCACCTCTCCTTCCCACTCTTCGACTTCATCTTGTCCTCGTCGATGGTCTCCGCGGGATCAAAGTCCGGGAACTCGGCGTACAGGTGCGTCAAGATCTCGTCGTCGATTTTGGTCAGCCGCAGTTGAGACCCTCGCCGCATTTGGAGGATCGACCAGTAGGTTTGCGCGTGGAGGACGGCCTTGACGGCGAACTGCTTTTCGATCTAGTGGAGCAGGGAGGTTAGCAGATGCTTTTTGGGAGGAGGCAGGTCGCTGGGACGAACATCTTCCAAGTTCTCGGCCTCCTCGGCGTTGAAGTCTTTCGGGACGGGTCCGCCGGAGACGATAGACATGATGTTGGTAGTAGGTTCTTGAGTGCAGGTAGTCGTGGAGGTGGTGAGCGCGGGTTGTGTGGTCGCGGAAAGTTATCTCCAGCTATGGTGGGTGGTGTGTGTTGTTACCCCACCAAAGAAAAACGTGGGGCAAAGTAGCTATCGCCTTCGCTTCAGTTCCGTCACTCGAACTCCCGTTCGCCTTCAATGACAGCCACATGACAACAGACATTGCCTTTCGCCACGGGCGGTGTTGGGTGGATAAATAGACGAATGTCTGCAGTATTTTACGCGACGACTTCTGCTCCTATGCCATCAAAACATGAAAGAATGTGATGAGTAATGATCAGGGTTGAACCCAACCAGCAATGAAGACAGAATAAGATTGTATTGACTCTTCTATGTCTGCATGAGTGAAACTACAAGCCACGCCAAGTCAATCCGACTACACGTACCCAGCAACACAGTTTCGTAGCCAAAATCCACCAGTATCTACTTTTCACCTGACCAGACCTGGGACATTATGATTGATTGATTGATTGATTGTAATCATTTTAGCGCATGCATCCCTTTGGGATATGGCGCGAGAACTAACATACAAACCTGGGACATTGATTGATTGTTTTGATTGTAATCATTTAAGCCCATGCGTCCCTTTGGGATATGGCGCGAGAACTAACATACAAACCACTCCCTTTCCGCAGCGAAACGCTGCTTCTATTCAACAGACTCTGCTTCATCCGTTTTCAACCATTCTCTCGCCGGCCTTGCTGCCTTTGCAGTGGCCGCCTTTTGAGCTGTACACTGCTGTGCACTTAGACTCTCCTGCA